GCGCTCGCCGCTTCTGTGTGTTAAAAAAGAAAGTATTGTAAGAGACGGATTAAAAACCTCGCGTTGTTCCAGCAAACGGCGCTCGTTTGGGAAACGGACGCGGGCGCATCCAGCTACTGCCGTGGCATTTCGTTCCAGTTGTGGTGGAGATGGTCACTGTGATGAGCAACAGATGGGTTTCAAAGATTTCTCCCGGGAGTACCGATCATGCATAGGACGTTTACATTTCTGGAGGTTTGCCGTTTTATACCCTGCGCTGTTCAGGTGTGCCTCTTGGTTGCGTTGGTGCTTCGGGACTTGGTTCACACGATATCAAGTTATAGATGCTGATGTAATGTTGCCTTACGCTGGAGGTTGTTCAACTACTTGCAAACTGGCCGGCGGTTGTAGCTATGCATTCCGAAAATCCAGCAGTGTAGGTGAGGGGGGGGGGGGGGAGGTGGATCGCACAGAACACTTCCTGCCCATGGGGTACTCCTCTTTCAAGGTCTATCGCCAGTGTGGAAGATCAGCAGCAGCAGGCCATTTGACACAAGAGTAATGTACAGAGCACTTTCATCCAACTCATTGCTCTCTAGAGACCGCAAGATCATTGATCGTTGCCCAGTCACCGGGTTGATGAAGGCACGGTCCGTGGTGGTGGTGGTGAGATGTTCACTACCTCGTCCCGTATACAGGAAGTTGTGGGTTCGATCCCAACCCTGACGCCTGCATATTTGGAGTTTGCATGTTCTCCGGGCTCTGTTTTTCCCTCCGCTTCGAAACTTGCGTTTCGAGTATTTTGGCTGGTATAGATTTCCACATGGTGATAAGCCACTTCATTGGGCTATCATTTGTGATCATCAGGGTGCTTCTGAAAATGAGCTATATAGCTCAGTGGGCCTTACGTGGTAAAATATATATTTTTTATATAGTTTTAGTTTCTGGCTTGAACAGAGTGGGCTGTGTGAAGGCTGCTTGCCATATTGCACCTCTGATTAGCACGTTCGGCTACGTTCCGTGCGAGATAAATTCAACATGCATGCATGCATAGTATTCCACTGCAGTACGTTCATTAGACGCGTCGACAGTGAAGTTACGTTTCATCGCTAGCGAATGAAGGATACTCTCGATTTGCTTTGGAATGGTAACGTGGCTCACAGACTACGGTCAACCGGGATGCCGGTCGCCCTCTTTCTCTTCAGAGCGTGCTTTCGTTGAATTGCGACAAAGTTTCGTGGCCTTTTGTTGGGTGACTTTTTTTTTTTTGCCCCCACTTGTGAAATATTTTGCCTGCCGACGGTAGAATCCCGCAACAGCACATGGCCAACCTGGGGAATAAACAAAACGGGATAACGCTTTTGTGCAAAATCAATACCCCTGGCTCGCACGCGTTCGCATCGACAACCAACACACATCGACGCAGAGAGACGCAAACTCCGCAGAGATCCATCGACACCCGGCCGTCGTCCGTGTCGCCTTCGCAGGCTGCTGGGGCAAGTGCTGTTAGCGAGCGCCTATTAAGACCGGCACGGCGCACGAGGGGGGGTGGGTGGCCAGCACCAACCACGGCCACCTTTGTCTCTCCCGAGTGGCGATGTTTACTCGAGCGAGGGGGGGAGGCCCATGATGTTGGATGCCGTGAGAGGGGAGAAAATCATTCGGGTTGCCGGGTTCGCAGCGCAGTACGCTAACCGCTGCGCCACCGCTCCCCACACACACACACTATATACAAAGACAAAGGATCCCCTGTACAGCCTGAACAGACTGTTGGGATAAGTGCTGTTAGCGGGTAGCACCTATGAAGGCCGGCACACACACACACACACATCCACACAGATGGAGCAGCTCCTAAATACCGGGTCATTTATTTTTTGGTTAAAAACTCCACCACCCCCCCACCCTCCATTCTATATTCATTCTCCGCCGTTGTCTTCAATGTCCAGCTTCGTTCTTTCTTCCCCTTTTCACCGCGTGGCTCGCCCGGCCTGCCGCGTTCGCTTCTGCTGGAGCCCCTTGCGGGTCGAGCGCCGTCGCCCTCTATACAGTGCGAGGAATTTAGGTCACGGCGAACCGCAGCTAATCCCGGATTCCTGCAATGCCGTTCGCGCGCGGGCTGTGTGGTGTGTGGTGGTCACGTGCACGTGCTGTGTGCGGGGTGTGCACGCGCGCGGTTAGCGAGGTGCGTGGGCGAGCGAGGCGAGCAGAGTTGGTGCCAAGTGGGGTGGGCGGCTGGGTGGTGGTTGAGGCCCCTTCCTGCTGCGCGTGGCACCCTGACAGCGCGTGTCGTATAATAGCCCCCACCAGCCCCCCCCCATCACCGCCTCCCCATCCCCATCCCACCACCGCCCCCTCCGCCCCCCATCACCGCTCCCCCATCACCCCCCCCCCCAAAACCCAACCGCCTCCCACCGCCCCCCACCCCCCCCACCTACCCCCCTCCCCACCGCGGGTGCAAGGAATGAAACGGGGCACCCCCCCCCCACCGTCCATAAATGACGTCACGCACCTGGGGGGGGGGGTCAGACATTTGTGACGATGTGTGACGAGGGGGGGGGGGGTTGAGAAATGTGACGTCACATCAACTTTAAATAAATACAGACAACACGTTCTACTTAATTAAATAGACTTTGTAATAAATGTTTTCTCCTACAACATCAGAGTGCAGCGCCACATTAAATACGCACTACAATGACAATAGTTTAAAGCGATTTGAAGCATGTTTTATTTTTTTGGGGGGGGGCAGAGCTTTGTGACGTCATATTTGAGGGGGGGGCTGACTTTTTGTGACGCAGTGTGACGAGGGGGTGGGGGGTCAAAAATCGCCCAAAAACGCGTGACGTCATTTATGGACGGCCCCAAAGGGCTAGTAGGAGGATCTAATGTTTGTTTAATGAAACAAGAGCCCCCATCACAACAGCACCAGCGGTAGGGGATCGATCTTCCGCGGACGACAATCCCGAGGCCTGGTGCCCACGGGATACGGGGTAGGGAAGGGTGATTGGGCTTACTGCCCCCCCCCTCTAACCCACGTAGTATTTTTAGGGTGGAGGGCCGTGACTGGTCAAGGTCCATGCCTCGCCGCCGACCCCCACCGATGGGGCACAAGAGCGAGCCCCCCGCTGTGCGCCTGTGGGGTGGAGCAAAACCGTGCGCCACGTCCTAGAAGTCTGCCCAATCCACGAACTCAGCGGTGGTCTCTCCTCGCTACTCACCCTCAACACGGCAGGACCAGAAGCAACCGCTTCTTGGCTTAGGGACTTTGCATTCACGAAGTAAATAGGTTGGGGGGGGGGGGCAGTAGTCAAGGATTTTTTGTTGGACTTCATATCCCAACGCGCATCCGGTATATGGGGTGCTCAAATCTCAAATCGCTACGGGGGGGCCTGGTTAGGTTTGCCCTTGCCCTAGTCGAGCCCCCGTACCCCTATCTCCACACACACACCCCAAGATCTGTGCTCAAGGAGCCACTCTTGGATCCGATGGACGTGTGCCGATTACCGCCGGCGGAAGCGTTGGCCGGTAAAAGCGCCGCGTGCGGAGAGGGGCGTTCTTTTTGACGGGTGGCCCAGGGTCCCATTCAAGTACAATCTCCCTCGCGAGATGTATGACGATTCGGCGCAGACCTAAATCGGTTGAAATGCCCCGCAGAAATGCGTAACGTTTTGAAGCCGCTGACAGCCGTTAGCTGATGGCACAATGTGCAAATGTCTGATTAGATTAGTTGGGTCAGGCAGATTCATCGCGTCTGTTTATAGCAAACCGCAATGGGGAAATAATAACAAAATAAACTTGAGTATTTTCGCCGCTCGCACACTTTGCCGTGCTACTGCAGCTTTAATGGGCCTTGAGCGAGCGCAGGGTCTCTGCAGGACAGGGTGAGGATTTGGCGAGTTCATGTCGCACAATTTGTTTTTGTTTGTTAAATCCGAGATCTGCGATGCGCCAGAGTGCAGGCCGGTGCACAGGGGCCCTGGGGGTGGAAGGCAGGGAACCACTCACGTGCAAGCCGCCTGTCCTCCCCGGACACCACTGCCATCACCACCACCACTATCACTGCCATCACCACCACCACTATCACTGCCATCACCACCACCACTATCACTGCCATCTCCACCACCACTATCACTGCCATCACCACCACTATCACTGCCATCACCACCACTATCACTGCCATCACCACCACCACTATCACTGCCATCACCACCACCACTATCACTGCCATCACCACCACTATCACTGCCATCACCACCACCACTATCACTGCCATCACCACCACTATCACTGCCATCACCACCACCACTATCACTGCCATCACCACCACCACTATCACTGCCATCACCACCACCACTATCACTGCCATCACCACCACCACTATCACTGCCATCACAACCACTGCCATCACCACCACCACTATCACTGCCATCACCACCACCACTATCACTGCCATCACCACCACTACTACCACTGCCATCACCACTGCCATCACCACCACCACCACTGCCATCACCACCACCACCACTACCATCACCACCACTACTACCATTTCCATCACCACCACTGCCATCACTGCCATCACCACCACTGCCATCACCCCCACTGCCATCACCACCACCGCGATTACCACCACCACTATCACTGCCATCACCACCACTGCCATCACCACCTCTGCCATCACCACCACTGCCATCACCACCACCGCGATTACCACCACCACTATCACTGCCATCACCACTCCATTGCCATCACCACTACTACCGTCACCACCACTACTACCGTCACCACTAACCACCATCACCACTCCCAACACAACTACCATGACCACCACCACCATCGCTACAACCACCATTGCTACCACTGCCACTGAATTGCACTTCAGCCCCACCATAACAGCAATGACAAAAGCAGGAGCTCACAGTCATGTCGACATCCTCATTCCCTCAGTCTTTCCTGAGCTGTGTGCCATGTTGTGTCTTGCACCTCCCCTCCCCGTCCCGCTCCCCCCGTCTTTCCCTCCGCAGTCCTCACTCTCGTCTAGGCCTGGCTGTGTGGATGGTCTCCAGGTATTTTCTGCTGCAACGGTCACTACTGAGTGAAAAATGGAACAACAAAAAGTTATAATCCCACACACGGCCTACACGCTGCAGCTTTCTCCCTCCTCTCTCTCCGCTTCGGCCACTGCTTTCAATCGCTACCGATCCTTGTGGCCCCGTTTGGAGTCGATTGCTTGCTCACACACTGCTGGCTCTAGAGAGCCCCTTTCCAAATGTTTTTTTTAAACTTGCTTCTCTTACCACCGTTGGCAGAACGTCTCTGAAAATGTTGGGAGTACCCATAACTTTACCCCACTATGGCAGGCCTGCCGATCGACTAACCGTGTGTGCCGCGTCGGACAGAGGCGCGTGCGAATTTGAGAAACTTTGCACCGCTTATTTCAACTGCCATGCCGGGAGATGGAATCGAACCGCGAACTCTTGTTTACGAGTCCGGTAGCGCGCTGCTGACCGTTACACCACAGCAGCATTGCTGGATTATTTGGTGAAAGATCTGACAAAGAGTACAATGGTATCTCACACGGTAAATTTCTCCAGAACCCAGTTGCATTCAATGTTTTTAAATTCGCATGCTAGGTGATTTTTTTATTTAGCGATGAGCCAAGCAACTATAATTATTATTGTTTTTGTAACAAACAAACAAAAAATCACCGGTAAACCCGAACCTTCAATTTTAATCACACGTTGCCAAGTTACTGACTCCGGGCGGAGGATAAAAAGGTCGTCGCTAGAAATCGTTTTCCGTTCTTCTGAATAGATTGGCGTGACCTTTGTCGCTGCCGTGCTTTTTCCTTATTCAAGTGAACATGACTAATCCACAACGGGGCCAGCTTCTGCTCTACAGCCCCCATGTCGACCGTGCTGGCCACAGAATCGGAACAATTTCGCAGCCAAGCCCGGTATAATTTAGTCCACCGCAGGTAATCACGCGCGACTTCAGAGAGAGCAGGACCCTGACCTCTTTGGCTCTTAACCGTCACCTCAAAAATGCAACGTTGTGCCGGCAAAATTTGATGTCATGTGATTTAAAATATATCTTTTTTTTACGAAAACCCTATTTTGTAAGGCATACCATTTTCACCTTCGCCAGACTTAAAATAAAGTAACGTTTCAATCGAGACTCGCTTGGTTCGAACGTTGAATGGGATTATTCGTAATTTTTTTTGACCAACACATCGGAAGCCTAATTGCGCCCCGTGAAACGGAATGGACGTTTTAAATTTCGCTTGCGATATTGGGCCACAAGATTTCCGCGTCCTCGGCAATGTTTTGGTTTTGTCGCCGAGCTGCGTTTTCCACAAGCCGTTGCACGAGACAGTCACAGGTTGCGTGGTTACCTCCTTGAATAACATGTCTGACGTCTGGGCTTCGTCGAACGTGCGATTGAGATTCGCTGCACAACCGAAAGACATTTAGTGAGGCACCGATGGCTTTATGGGGCTTAAGTGCCACATCTAATAGGACATCCGTGGCACCGCCAGGAGGGGCCTCACAGTCACGAGATGTTAACTACCTCGCCTGGTATGCAGGAAGTCGTGGGAAGCTCGTGGGTTCGATCCCGATCTCCCCGTGGTCGTGTGGATTTTTTGTCGGGTCCTCCGGATTTTTCCCTCCACATTCGGAAGCACGCGTTTAGAGTAGTTGGCTGCTCTAAATTTCCGCGTGACAAGCCACTTGGTTGAGCTGTCAAACGTGGCCAGGTCACTTCTAAAAAAGAGCTACATAGCTCGGTGGGCCTTACCCGGTAAAATAAAAAATAGTTTATTGTTGTAATTTTTAGTTTACATCCAGCTTACAGTTTTTATTTCACATTAAAATGACGTGACTAATGGTTACAAATTGCGTGACTCGCCAAAGAACGTTTCGCAAATGAGCGACCGACTACCACACATGCGAGGCAGCAACGTGGAGACACGGGGGGCAGAGAGAGAGAGAGAGGGTGCGAGACTTCGCCATGTTTTCCACAGCCCAACGTGGCGCTCTTCGGTGACGGCGCCGTGGCGCTGGAGGGGGTGAGGGCCGGGGGTGCGTTTCTGCGGGTGCCAGCGTGTGACATGCACGAGCGAGTATTTTTTTTTCCCCTTCAAAACATTGTCAAAGAACTGCAGATGCGCGCACGCAATGGTGCGCGTGAGGGCGTTTGGGTTTGAGGCGAACCCAGCGCGCCGAGGTATTTCATGTTCCCGCCCGCTGCCGCAGCCGCGATGAGCGTGATTCACGCGGCCTTAGTTCCGGAAATTCCGTGCGAGAGTGAGGATAGGTGAGACAAGATCACTGCTCGTGATGGGTTGAGGGGGGGGTGCCAACAGTTATGGTTGGAGGTTGCCACCTGTCCTGGTTTGCCCAGGAATTCTCTCATTTTTTGAAGTGGCATTCTGGGTAAACGTGTAAGTCTCTCCAAATCACGAATAGCCCTGGATTGTCAGTTACATTAGAATAATATCCTGCTCAAGACAACACGTTTACATGCAACTTAATTGTTCCCACGTTAAGTGTTGGGGTTTTTTTTTTTTTAACCGAGCCTGGCGATTGTGGTGGCGAGGTGAGTTTAAACGGCCGTAGCCCTCGGGGCAAGGGTTACAGCGGCTATTTTTTTAGCAATTCGCAGCGAACTTGAGAGAGAGAGAGAGAGAAGCCGAGGCCGCTCGTGTCAAAAATGAGATCGCCAAGCCCAGAGCGCGTTCACCGCGGGTCGAACGGGGCCATGGAGGTCACGGCAGAGGCCCCCCCCCCCCCCCCACACTGTTGATTACTGCACGACTTGGCTCGTGTAGTGACACGAAAATTACACATTATTGGACGAGGGCGATACTCCCGTCGCAGCAGCGGGCGCCCGCTTGCCAACTCACTCCATCTCGCTCCATCTCAGCGGCATTTGTTGTAATTTTAATCCGCTGCAATTTAACAACGCGGCTGGGCTGGCTCTTTCGTCAGTTTTTCGCGGATGCCTGTCGAGATTGTGAATGCGTCCACGCGGGCGTTTGCTTTGCGAGCGTCCGAATCGGGCTAGGGCATCTCTCGCGGAGCGCCGACTTCCCTTCGCGTCTGTCTGCAAGTGCAGACTGCTCCTAACGACGTGAAAATATTTAGTCGGAACCGTGGCCCAAGGGGAGAGCCGTATCAGAGGGCCTCCCATTAATAAAAATGTCTCGTTGATTTCATTGAGTGGTGTCCGTGTCAGATGAACAAATCCACACGTTTCGTGGGGTGTGAGGCAACCTTTCCTTTCGTAATGACATCAGAAATGTATACGCAGTACACAAATGATGTATTTCAGTCATAAATGAAAATATTTTTCATCTCGTTCAAGAACTTTCTTTTGACCCAGGATTATTTGAATACACGTATTGTTCTTATGGAAAAAAACATATTTTTTCGTGTGTTTGTTCTTAAGAGTGTAGAAACAGAGAACACGTTTACTGATACACTTGTTGTTTCTATCCATTACCAATCAAATTAATTTTTTTTTATTGTCAAAAGTATTCATTTGCAGGCTCACTGCCGGCCTCAGTAGGGACCTTGCTAATGCGTGTTTATATTTCGAGACGACATGTTGTCCCAGCCTGATCTATTAGGCAAGAGCAGTTTACAGCCTAATGAGGCCTGCGTTTGTTGTGTTTCTCGTTGTGCTCTCTTGCGTAGTAGCTTGTACCTCCTGTTTCTACTGGATGTGCAAGGCCCAAGGAAGCAAGTGCTAAGGAGGTTGAGGGGAAGATTTAAAGGAGTCCATGGTGTGTGGCCAGTCCATGGCGTGGCCAGTCAAAGGGGATGGTCAGACAAGGGGATGTTGATGTTAAGGGCGTACGATGTTTGCGTAATCATGAAGTCCATCGCTTGTTCGTTTGCATTTGACCGTTTAAGCAGTGGGCCGCACACATGGCGTGAAGTTTTTTCCGAAAGCCGGGGGGAAAAAATATCTTTAATTTTAGATGGTCCTGGTATTCATATTCTTGGTTCTTTCGGTAAAGTCACGTAGAAGGGAAATAATAAAATACAAAATTTTAAAACTATTTCTCACGACGTATCGACTGCAAAACAAGCTTTAAATAAAAATTTGGTCCTGGTATTGTTGTGGCAAAAATAACCCTCAACTCGACGGCTGATATAAACAGCATTCATAACCGGCTTTAATGTTCTTGAGTGGCTAATACAACTGTCTGTTGACTATCTGCGTCAAGCGAGGCTTTTCCTCTCCGCTTTAATTTGTAACTTGAGCTTATAAATGTCAGGTCATCGGTTTTTTTTCACGAGGGTGTGTGTGTGTGTGTTAGTTTTGCAATATCTACGCTTGTAAAGTATTTGCGATCACATTCGCCCGTGGCTGGTAGCATTCCGTATACAGTCGCGCTCGTTTCTACCGTACAGTTTTGCGTCATTTTATTTATACGTACAGCGCGAAAGAAGTTCTACTTACGTGCAAATGCGGGCAGCGATATTCGGGTGCACGTTTCAAACCCGTTAACGGTGGTGGCTAATCATTAGTGTGACAATGAAGTGGATTTCATTTTTACTCGGACATTGTATGTCGACCAATTAGCATCTGTGTAGTGCAAAACATTATTGCCACCCCCTCCCTAACGGTGGGGGGGGGGGGGGTGAGAAATTCTCACGAAATAAGTTTGTGGCGACGCTGCATTCATTACCACGTGTGTGGCAACCTGCTTACTTTCTCCGCCAACAAGATGTATTCTTTTTAAATACCATACATATTTGCCTTCAACGTGACACCCCCCCCCCCCTGATTTGTGGGGCCGCCCTTCGTGTACGTGTTTGGAGTTCTAAATATCGATAAATTAATCGCTCGTATGGCTGATGCAGATGCAGAGCAATAATTTCTATCAATTATGAAGCTCGTGATATGTGTACATTTAATTTGCGTGTTTCCAAAGTGATGTGTTTTTGTATTCGTTTATACTGTAAGCAATGGGTTTACATCACCCCAGTAGCCGCTAGAGGTGCTACCATTCACCGCAGTGTTTTAAAACGAACACTCATCGATTCTTGGATGGAATTCGGAGCCAACATTGGGAATTGGTGGGTAACCAGCACCACGCCCGGCCGCCGTTGTCGCCCTAGGAGCGATGTTCACACTCTCCACCGGCTACGCATTTGAAGCTGAGTGGACCTAGTGGAGGCCCACGACTATTTCAGATAATCGTCACTGGTGTTGGCTGTGAGCGAGAATCGAACTCGGGTGAACCGCTACACTACCATAATAATAATGATGCACATACCAACCACACAAGATTTTTTCGAAGTTCATAAGGAAATGGCAACACTTGAGTGTTGATTATTGTGCTCGTGTGCTTGGGTAATCAACACGTGAGTACAGCGTGGGAACTGCTGTCCCAGGTGCGGTGGTTTGCATGTAGTATGTATGTTGAACTTTTTTCGCACCGTACGTAGCCAGCCGTGCTAATCGGCAGTTGTCCAGTGGCTTTTTCTTTGCCTTCGGGGGAAGAAACATCCCTCAATGTCCATAAAATGTCCCACAGAAGCTACTCCCTTTGTGTCGACACCTTTCCGTGTCAACGCCTCTCGCTTTGCCGTGGCTTTACCGCACCGTGACACATCGCACCCATCCATCCCTCTCCCCCTGACCACTGAGCTGTTCAAGTCAGCCCCTCTGTGCATCCACCCACCACACTAACCGCACGCTCTCATCTAAACATCCCTCCCCGCCATGCCCCCCACCCCTTCACCTGGCTCTCCACAGGAAAGCACGCGCGATCGCTGACTTCAAATCCGACGACGGTACGGTGCTGGACTTCAGCAAAGGCGACATCTTCCACAACGGTGAGTTGTGTGTGTGTGTGTGACGATTCACCTGCTCCATCGTCCTCAGGACCCCGTGATTATCCGTTTTTGGATTTCACTTACAAATCACTCCGTTGGGAATTACACAGCAGAAGCAGCAGCTTTCATCGCCCCACCCCTGCCCCCGCTGGAAGACTAATACCCACTTGCAGGCCAGGTGTTGAATCACCTTTCTTCCGCACGGACAGCTTCCGCTGGGGGTGCCCTTCGAATTGTTTCAGATGAGAATTGACGCACGCTCACTTCCCCGGTGTGCAAAGTGTGCTAGTGCCCCCAAGCAATAAATCAATAATAGCAGGCGGTGCTTGTATGATTATAATAATAATTATATTTCCATATTATTCTAATAATTATAATATTATTTTTAAAATTACCATTTCTCCCCTGACTGTGCCCCACCCTCCATCGCACTGCGCTCCCTCCCTCCCTGCCTCGCAGCCCCTGAGCCTCGCTGAGCCTGGGGCTGGCTCGGGTTGGCCCCGGCCTGCAGCTGAGGCTGCTTCCTCCTCTGGGCGTTCAGTTGGCGCCCCCTAATTTAGTCAGAGCCCCCCCCCCCTCCCCCCAGATGAGGACGGAACACGCCGCTGTCTCGCGCTTTGTTGCCCGCAGCGTCTGCGACTGCCGAGTGGAAGTGCGGCTTGCGCGCCTGTGCGTGCGTGCGTGTGGCACAGTGGCGGTGTTTGTTTTTTACGCAGCGCACCAGGTACTCATTTGAAGCTGAGTCGAGCTAAGGGAGGCCCAGGACCGGTTCAGATAATTGCACCAGGTACTCATTTGAGGCTGAGTCGAGCTAAGGGAGACCCAGGACCGGTTGAGATAATCGCCCACTGGTGTTGGCCGTGAGCGGGAATCGGGTTTGTAGCAAAGCGCGTCAACCGCTACGCTACCGCTCCCCTACATCGCCACCGGGGAGACAAAGGCGGTCGGGCGTGGTGCTGGCCACCCACCCCCCTCGTGTACCGTGCAGGCCTTCATAGGTGCTGCTCGCTAACAGCACTTGCCCCAGCAGTCTGTTCAGGCTATACAGGGGGAGGGGGTAGTGTCTTTGTGTCACAGTGGAAGCGTGGCCCGTTTTCTCTGAGTGACATGAGTCATGGTGGGTGGCACCACCAGAGGCACGCGATCCCTGCTACTGCACGGTGTGTTGTGTAATGTGTGCGGGAGGGGGTGGGTAGGGCTCCTTCCCATTCCCCAGAGGGCCACTGCAGCCTGTGTTGACGTTCTCTTCCGTGCAGAGAGCTTTTTATTTTGATTGATGTCTTGCCCAGAATTGTGCAGCTGAGGGCCAGGAAAAAGGGGATTTAGCAACACGTGAATTGTGCGCTTTGGAGGCGGGGCGGCACTTGCAGTCTGTGTGTCTGTACTCGCAAAGCGCGCCGCTAATAGGCTGGTGCAGCCGCAAGCCGCTTTCACCAGACGCTATTCATTTTCCACGCTTTGGTTTTTTGAGCCCCAGCTTGTTTTGTAAAGGTTTCCACGCAGCATTTCCGCGCGGTGTCACCGTGACCCGTTCGCCCCTCCCCACCCACCGCATCGCAAAAAAATCTAGTTCCCTTCCCCCACCCCGGGCACATTCACCCCCCGGCGAACGCTTTGGAGTCGATGCGGCGCTGAGGAGGAAGGAAACCACAGGAACACAACAACTACAACAACAAAGACGACGTTTGCACGCTTACGCCTTCGACTGGGGCGTAAAAATCTTGCCCGTGGAATTGGTCAGCCGAGAAGCGCTGTCAAGAACGGCGCAAAGGCCCCGTGAGCAGCGAGGTCGATTCCAATCCGCCCTGGCAACGGCGACGAGGCCTTTTGTGTTGGCAGAAGGTCTCGCGCCCGCCTGTGCATCATCATCCTCATCCTCCTACTCCTCGTCATCATCCTCATCGTCATCCTCCTCATCGCCCCGCACGTTTCCAGCGCGGTGTCACCCCGGCGACACGAGTTCTTGCCGACTCGGGGGGGGGGGGGGGGATACACTCTCTGGCAGTTTCTGCACCGCCCGACTGCCCCCCTCTAGTGGATTTTGCCGTGGTCGCTGTGCCCCCCAATCACCGGGGGGCTGCGAGGCGCTCTCAGCTCCAGTTTGATTCCAGCGTTTGCTAGCAGAGTAGAAGGTAAATGTGCCAGCCCTGCGAATTGCCTTTTCACGTCACTGCCGGCAGAGGGGCCTCCACTAAAGGGGGAGAGTTCCTGGAGAGCGCCCCTCTCAAGGAAACTCTCGAGGGTGTTTTGGCCTACTCTTCCACGCTGGTCAAATATATTGGAAGAGGCGTGAATACGCACAGTCTGCTCTGCCACGCGCGACCGCTACCGACCGACTAACTGCGTTGGTGTAATCACGTATACTGCACGGTGCACAGAGACCGGTAGATTTAAGAAACCTTCCAATTCTTCCAACTGACAAGTCTGAAGCTCGAATTGGCTACTGGGATGCAAGTCCAGCAGCGCGCTGACCATCAACACCACGGGCAGCAGCCGTGAGACGAGCAATGAGGCAGTACTCGTCGTTGTCGTCGTAACTGTCGCCCAGATCGATGAAGAACTAGCTAAAAACATTTGAGTGAATTTAGATTACGGCCGGCCAAGAGCGCGCAATGAATAAGTAGCGCACGGCAAAAACAAAACCAAGCCAAATGTTTCCCAATAAAGAAAATCCTCATTTTTTATTTCATGAATCCTTCATTTGAAGTGGGTTTTAGTCCTTTGGTCCTGGCACTTTTCACGGAGCGTAAATATTTAACCGAACATTAAAACAGCGACAAGTGAAATCGACGAGTCCCACATCAATGTAAATGACGGTATACAGTGAATTTCAATTGGACGTATGCTTTATTGTCTCTTATGTAGGCAACCGATGAATCGTTAATTGATTAACATACATTCTTGAAGTTATAATACAGCCATCGAACCGCTTGTAAAATATATTTTTTATTTGTATATGCTGTGCGTGATGGGGTCACGGCGCCTCTGTAAGCCATTCAAGGTGCTATCATTCATTGCACTTAACAAAACTTATTCCATTATGAGCGAGTTTTTTTCACATTTATACTTATAAGAAGCCAAATATCGCTCCGCTTTGTTCGGGGGGGGGGGGGATGTGTAACCCACCACGGTGGCTAGATGTTCACTACCTTGCCTGGTATACAGGAGGACGTGGGTTCGATCCTGACCCTGACTGCTGTTGTATATTGGGAGTTTGCGTGTCTCTCTTCTTGTGGTCGCGTGGATTTTTCTCCAGTTCCTCCGATTTTTCCTTCCACTTTTAGAATCAACATGGGTTTAGAGTACTGTATTTGGCTGCTATAAATGTCCACGCGACAAGCCACTTTGTTGAGCCATCATTTGTGGTAGCCAGGTCACTTCTGAAAAAGAGCTACATAGCTCAATGGGCCTTACCTGGTAAAATAAAAAATAGTTTAGTAGTTTAACCGGTACGGCGGTGGCCGTCTCCGCTCCGCCGCTCACCCGGCAGCCAACGCCGTGAGCCAGGCCGCTGCCAAGACGGGGGGGGGGGGCCGCCCCCCCATCCACGCGATCACGATCTCGCGCTCGCTCTCTCTCGCTCGCCAGCGAGCACGCGCCCAACGCCGATGCCACCGCAGGCTGGCTAGGCCGCAGCACCTCGGCGAGCTTTGCCGGAAGAAATGTGCGGCCCTCGAACCAAAGCGCGCGGCCGTCGTCCGTCGCAGGCTGCAGCTTCGACAGAAGCGTCTCCCAACTACCGTGCCTTTTGTCAGCGAGAAGAAACATTTCCACCAGTGGCATGGCTGTGGAGTGTGTAGGCTGTGCTGCTGTACTGGGCCTTGCGGGTGGCTCTGGCCCCGGGCTATGAAGAGATGGGGGCGGGAGGGGGAAGCGGACAGGTGGGGGACCCCCGTTTCATTCCGTGTACCATAGCCCGTGCCAAGCATGCCGCGCTAACTGGTCTTATGCCAGCCACACACTCATGGTGCTCGTCGCCCTCGCACCTGCTGGCAGATGACTCTTCTACCACGGAGCGTCAACAGCCCCCTTTCCCCATCACCCCCCACCCCACTACTGCCCGCAAGGGGAGATGCCATTGTAGGAAGAAGACTGCCTGTGATGCGCGGGTGCCCAGAGCTGAAATAGAACCCGGGCCAGGCGGATCTGTTGAAATGTGAAGAGGTCAGAGGGGTCCCCGCAGCTCACGACGACGATCAAAGAGAGCCTCCGAATTGAACGTCATTGCTTGTAAGTCATTTCCCTTTTCTGTCTCAGCGCGCACCGCACATTCCCTGCGGTATCGCGTATGCAGACAGCAGTTCGTGGATCGATTTCATCAGTTGAAATCCGTGTTATCGCACCAGGGTGTCCCTCCAACCCTGCTCCAAGCCGCGCTGAGCAGCCAGCGTGGTGAAGTACGTTCACACAACGTTCCCCCACGACCAAAATGGGAGGCCTTCATCATCCACCGGTGGATTGACAGCAGGCCGTAAGTATTGGTTGTTGGTGAAGGCCGACTTGGGCTGGCCATATCGCCAGAAGGGACGGTGGCTGATGGGCAAGGCTGGTGACTGAGGAGGGAAGACACGTCCCAAGAGTACGCCACCACCGCGGAGATGAAGCAATGAAAAGCGACCCGCGCACGAAGGCGGTATGGATTGTGGCAATTGCAAAACCCGGGGTGGCGGCAATGACGTGGCGAGCCCTTACATCCAGCAGTGGAGAAGATCGTGGCTGCTGATGATGGGAAGTCGATAACGCCGCACAAGAGAACGAATCGATTCGTAAATCGAAACGCGAGCCCGAAATCTCGACGGCTTGCTCGCTCATTGTGTGCAGGGCACGGTGCGCATGGTTCATTTGCCGCTGAATTATATGCGAGGCTTCTGTGCGTGTGTGTGTGTACGTACGTACACAGGTGTAGGGTAGATCCCGGGATTTCTGGTCACATTATTGACCGTTAACCGTGCAACGCTTTAACGTGGCCGTGACGCGGTTGATCTTCGGAGGAATTTTGTCCATTGACGCACAACGTGAAGCCCTTAATCCCTCAAAGAAGGATTACAGCCAATAGCCCCATGATGGCGCGTTTAAGGGAATTAGCTACTTGTGGGTGTGGTTCAATGCATTATGCTACTCTCGTGCAACGATATATATTCATATGAAACGTACAATTTGCTCTCTTTGAAAGAGGCCGATCTTATTTAAAAAAATTATCTCGACAACGTTGACACGCATATGACCTCGACCGCACGCGCAGCGATTGATCTTTTTTAGCGAGCGTTCTGCAAAGTGGCGGTGACATTTGTCCACCTGTTGAGTGTTTTTTTTGCCGGCCTTTTGCAGGTGCTCTCTTTGTGGCGGTGATTTTCGTTGTTGTTTATGAACCACGGCAAACATTCCCCTGCCTCTGAGCAACGGAAGTCACCTCCGGCCCGTGGCGTGGCTGGCAGGCTCGTGGCGGTGTATCCCCCGCGCGCACGCGGACGGCGATTAGACAGAATTGTCACGACTCCAGGTCACGAGTGAATTCGGGAATAGAAATTGTTTTCGTCCCGTTCGTTTTTGTTTGCAACCCGTGTGAGTAAGTGCTCAACTACGTTGTCTTCCTTCGTGTGTTGCCTCATTTCTATTCTACCCCTCTCTCTCTCTATCTCTCGCTCTCGTTCTGCCGGTCTCATTGGTATCGTTCCTGCGCATCGTCATAACATGGCGCATTGCGCATGTACGTTGAAATTCTTTCGCATCGTACGTCGCCAACCCGTGCTCATCGGAGGTGCGGAGGGAAGGACAACACATTGTTTACATGGAAGTTTTTGTTTTTTATGCCTTATCATGAGCATAAGAATCGATCTAAAGGGATTGATGGATGCATCGATGCATCAGTAGAATCTTAGGGGTAGCCCCCCTACTCCTGTCCATTTCGTGGTCGATCGAGGGGGCACTTCCACGACTTCGTAGTGCACATGTCAGACGCTGCAGAGATGGGGCGCAATCGCGAGAAGAATCATCGAGTGGACTTAACGCCGCGGTACAGAACGTGTCAACCAATTAGGGCTGCAATGCAGATTAGGAGTCACTTGACCACTTTTACAGACTTGGAAGAAATGCTCAAAGGGGGGGCACCACGCTGGTGTCGGGCGCACTCGGACAACCTCACTTTGCCGTCCACTCTGAGACTGTGGTGGTGCATTTATTGTCACGTGAATGTCGAACCATTGACTTGCTGCTAAAACGAACCGTACGCAGTGACCTTCAAGATGACACCCACCGCCACCCTCCACGTATCGCAGAATGAATTGTAAATGCCGACTGTGAGGCTGCCTCGATTGTAGCACCGCCCAGAGAAGTGCTAAGTAGCGTTGCCACCTCCTTAGCTCCAAGAAACGAACCAAACAAGGACACCGTTGGGAGTAAGAGAGAATTATGTGTAACTGACAAAAACAACCAGACCTGTAACGTTTCATATACGGGGAAGACTTGTATACAGGGTGCTTTAAAAAAAGTGTTAACACTTCTGAGATTTTTCAACAATACCGATACTCCCATATAAGTGTTTCAAAACAATTAGAAGCACCCTGTATTTCCCATGGACACAACCGATGAGCATGGTTGGCTACGTACGGCGCGAAAGAAGTTCAATACACACACAGTACATACGGACAGCTGTCCCAAAAAGAGGTGTCCGTCCTCCTGGCAAAGCCAGGAAGAGAGGTGGTAACCCTCGTGCCAGGCGTGCGTGCCAGGCATGCGTGCGTGCGTGTGTGCCTCTCTCACGGTGACGTGTTGTGCCTTCCCGCAGTTCAACCGGCGATGGACGGGTGGCTGAAGGGAAGCCTCAACGGCAAGAACGGACTCATTCCCGAGCAAATGCTGCAGATGCTGTGAGCCCGAGGCCTGCCGTCGGGGTGCCGGGGTGACACGGCAAGCGATGGGGGGGGGGCGAGGGCAGGGACGGGCAGAAGGAGGGCGGCCGTGGGTTGCATTGTGGGTAAACCCTCGCTCTTAACAGCTCTCCGACGTGCGCGTGCGCTCGGGTCGCACCGCGTCGTTGTTCGGCACGATGTCCGACGTTTCCCTCCGCGTGCTGCGAGCTTCTTCAGGAACTGAATTTCGTGAAGAAGCTCTCGGCGCATGGAGCAAACGACAACGGCAAACTGTTGCGGTCGTACACACCTCGCTTTAGCCCCTGTCGCAAGCCGACGTCGTTCGCAAGGCAATTCAAAGGGACTTAAGATGTATTGCAGTTGCGCTGTAGCCAATGATCAAGTGCATTTTTGGGGCTTTTTTTTTTACTTACAGTCTTTGTTTAAACGCGCGTTTCATTTTGCTGTTACAATGATTGAGGCCGTTTCTCGATGTTTTTATAATCCTGCATATGTCTGTGGGCTTTCCTTCCCCGACCGCTTTACAGGGAACGCATATTGCTCCTCATTGCTGACCCGGGCTGCAGGAAGGTTACGGGAGGCCCTGGGGAAATGCCAGGATGAGGCCTCCCTTCTGAGCCCCTCCCTTGGCCCTTTCTAAGGCCTTCCTCAGATCTGAGGCCCTGGAGCAAACTTGCCCCACTTGCCCCGCTCCCCTCTATGGCCTTGGGTCCTGACTACCCACAGCCTGACCAGCAGGCTTACAATGATTTCCGCCCCCTGCCCCATATCAGCAATTCAATGAATTGTCACAATTAAGTTTTATTCGTATTGTTTCGTGTTTTTCTTGTCTCGTTTTGCAGACTTTCGTCCGACTTCCGTCAGCCTAAGGGCAACATTACCGTATCGTTTACGTGTAATGAGCCGACCCGCTTGCAGATAATAGTCTCCCAATGCGCGACTCCGCTTGCTCACCCCACGACACGATTGTGCAAATCGCTTTAAATTAATCGGCGAGTCGGCGCGCCATGGCCTTGACCGCCACGACTGCCGTCAAGCCCCGAGGCGCTAAAAGCCCGTCTCGTTCGCACATTCCAACGGCCGCTTGCCCAGTCGACCAGACCCCGGGGCAACTGATGTGATGGCGTGAGAATGGTGAGCGTTTATAAAAGCCAACTGCCTTGACATCGGAGTAAAAAGTTACAAATATATAAATGCGCGGCTTTTGCTGTCGGCGTAGCGGTTCCATTGAGCGAAGAAAACAACGAAAAATTCCAGACGTTTCGTGGCGTTATTCAAGGGACGGGCGAAGTCAACGTTTAGCATTTCAGTAGCGGCGCTCAATGTAATCGCGTTCGATCACGCAGTCTGCTGTAACCGTGGCCGTGCAGTTGCCTGTGGCCTCGAGTGCTCTATCAAAAGATCGAATATATCTACGAAATGTTATTGTCCATTCCACTTTTGTGTTTACATTTTTCGTTGTTGCCCAATCCCGTTTATATATATAAGTATTTGCACATTGTATAATAACCATTACCGCTTTTGTCGCAATGTTTTAATACTTTTATTGCTTGCAACAGGTTCCTTTTAATGCTTCAGGGAATTGTCATTCCTGCTGTCGGGATGTTGTAAGGGAATGCCTTAACTGTCAGTGTAATATAGCACGTGTTAGGTGCTTTGAAAGTACAATACGCTCTGTTGCGCGCTTTGTTTCTGTGTCATTAGTGTTGTGTGAGGTCGCGTCAACAGACCCAGTCGGTGAGGCCGGGCCTCTAACCCAAGTGTAGGAAATGACCCTAACAAGCCCTGCTTAATAGGTCTTACCAATCCCATGCCCCGTGATAAAATCGCCCAGAATGTGTCGGATCTCGGAAGCTAAGCAGAGTCGAGCCTGGACAGCGCTTGGAAGGGCGACTGCCGTGCATGCCAAGTTGCTTCGGGCTGCTGCTGCACACCATAGTGGGCACCAGAAGGCCAGTGCAGCAAAATCGAGTGTTTTGCTGTACAGTACTTCTACGCTCCCCGTCTATGCTCCCCCTTCGCCAACCCACGCTGGCTGGCTTGGTGAAGCCGTGACTTAGACGGCGTGGGGAGAGTGCCTCATCCAACAGCGGCACGCCGTGTCACAGTCCCGTGGAGATGCAGACTGCACTGTCGGCCGCCTTCGTGTGTTCTCCCATCGCCGTCGGAGCTCAAGTGGTGGGGTCCCAAGTGTTATGCGGGTTCAACGGACTCCCAAATTCGGCCAAGAAGTCTGCCCGTTGAAATAAAATATTTGACCGCAAACTCAAATGTTGCACGCACGCACGTCGAGAACGTCTTTCGCGTCGCAGTTCTAAATAAACGGGGTCACGTGATGATCCCAGTAACTGCCGAGGGGCATGACTCCAAGTGACCCCCCCCCTCCCCCCAATCTGCTCCCCCTTCTGGCAGGGCCCTGTTTGCCACTTGGGGCGGTCAGGACCAATTCCACATGCACTCCGGTGGTTTACAAAAAGGGTGCTGGGAAGATGCAAAGGAACGCCTGCAAGCTTTCGTTGTCTCTCTCATGTTTCAAATCATTGGCGGTGTGCGTGTGTGCGCATGTATGTGGCCATGTACATGGTCTCAGTACGCAAATAGTACTCAAATCTATGATTTGGAACCGAATAACAGGAAGTGTTTTGGCAAAGCAAGCACGTGACCAGGCTGGGTTTGGGCCATGGTTTCTCTCCCGATCGATCAGACACTATCAATCAGATTCTATCAATCAGATACTATCAATCGGATGCTCGAAAAATTAATTAAGAAAATGCAAAGCAGAAGTGGAGTCGGGCAAAGCAGGTAATGCTCTCAGCAAGGCTCACCGCAGCAAATTTCACATTTATTTTCCAACAATTGGACCAGAGACATCAATCCACGAGCACAGGTGGAGGTGTCAACCATCTCGGATTCGATGACGACGTCGTCACTGTAACAACCGAGGAGACGGAACCCCAGGTAATGAATGAAGAACAACAACAACAGAAGTTACAACGTGGGGCTGGGGATGATGATAAATACGGACAAAAGGGAAAGTTACGGCCAGTCACTTGTCGCAAGCTGAACAAATAAAACATCTTCGGATGGACGCAACAATACGGCAAGATATGTATCACTTTTGGCGGTGGGATCAATATCGAAATGACGAGAGCAGGTTGGAGTGCTTTTGGGAAAACTGAACTTTCTTCATCAAAAGCAACACAACCGATGTGCCGAATGCAGAAACTATTTAATCGGTAAGATATTCGTCTGCCATCATGGCACGGATCACAAAAGTGGTCATTGACAAAGGAAGTGGAACGAAAGCTGAAAATTATCCAAAGACGCGCGGAGGGGTCACGCGTGCTTGCATTTGCATTCGGAGAAAGAGGGACGCGCGATTCGGAGAACCTCTACAAGTTGTACGTACATTGACAACACAACCGTGCTAATCCGAGGTGCGGACGTGCGGGGGAGTTTTTCCTTGAGAGTCACAACAATATTTTAATAATATTGACTCTTTAGACAAATGAGTGGGGCGAGGGAAGGACGCCGTCGCTCGAAGCGACTCACGCCCCAGGAGCCGTCCGGTGCGTCGTGAAACCGCAAGTCGACGGGGAAAGGCTTCATCCAGCGGTGGATAGAGCTCGGCCCGATGGTGTTGGGGGGGGGGTCAGTCAGGGGTCATTGTCTTGTAAGTGTATCGCATTCCTGATTTGTCATCGCGGTACTGCAAGCACGGTACGAGAGTTCTTAGCTGAACAACTGCTGGTGGTGCATTGCATCGTCGTCAAACGAGCCGGCGGGCTCTCTCGCCCATTATATGCATCTCAGTCCAAAGAAGTTACATTTGATGTTGAACTAAATACATGCGTTGCGTATATTTATTGTCTGTACTTGCATTGCCTTAAAAAAAAACTCACATTTGCCGATCTTGCTTTTATTCCCAGCCCAGGATGTCTGCCTGCCCAATTGGTACGTGCCTACATGTCGCTTGCTCCAGAATTTTCGGAATCTGGGCCACAACGCGTACAAACTGTGATGCGGGACCGCGGTGCGGCGGCAAGAGGGGGGAGGGGTGGGGGCTTTGGTTCTTTTGTTCTTCGTTCGTTTGTTCACGTCGCCAACTTTACATTTTTTTCTTTCTTTCTTGCCGAGACCCGAGACGATTTTTTTTTTGCCGTCGACCTGAACGGGCCTGGCCACCACCACCACCTCTACCACCGCGCGCGCGCCCACGTGCCCGCGAGCGCGCGTTCTCGGTGGCATCGTCACAAAGTTTTGGTCGAGTGGAGGACGCTGCCTACCGCGGTGCATCGTGTGGGGTCTTGTCCAAGTTTCCCAACGCGCGTTCGTTCACTCGTTTCACCGCTCACGTCAAAGTATCGGCAGAACCCCGTTGATGTCTCTGCACGTCAAACCCCACGGTGCTTTAGTCCACCGGACCGCGGTTTTGGCTTGCCAAAAATGACAACATCCATCTCGATTTGTTTCGGCAAGCCGGCTGTGCTGATGAGACTCGCAGGGCGTAAATCTGCTCCAGAGTCCGTCAGGCTTGTCGAGCAAATGATTCGGGTTGACATGAGTCAGAAGTTGGCCGATATTATCCAGCAGCGCGTTTTTTTTTGTTGAGTTTCAACATTCAGGGTCTCGTCAGCAGAGTCCGGCTTGCCGAACAGATACCCATCCTTGAGGTCAACTCGTGGAGTAAAATCGCCGTCGCTGCAGGGAGGGGAAAATGACATTTGGGTGTAAGCCGCTCCCCACGTGTTGCTGTCCGCCGCATCAATCGTCGACTCGGGAGCAGAGGTCGCAACCGGGTACCCGATACCCGTACCCTACCCGATACCCGGCTACCCGTACCCAGCCGGGTACGGGTAGCCGTTTGCGACCCTGGTGCGGCCGGGTACGGGTACGGGTAGGCCGTGAGTCACCGGTGAGTGAGTAACCGTTTGTCACTCATTTCGGGTAGGGTACGAGTACGGGTAAGGAATCAAAACCCGTTTGCGACCTCTGCTCGGGAGTGACGTTGTTGAGCCGTGGGTCACACGGTGACGCCGCGTCCGAGGGGAGACATGAGCAAGTTTTGCACATTTCGCTCCAACCAGGTGGCTCGGTTCGTCACGCGGGGCATCTTGCACGATGTCGCTTGATGTCGCTCGTAAATTACAAAAAATATATATACACAAAAATAAACCTGACAACAACAAGAACAAAAAATGAATCGCAAGTTTCACCGATAATTTTTGGAGGAGCGTTGAAAGGCGTGCGATCTGCGGAAAGAAATCTGCGAGCAGTCTGTCGAAGAGACCGCTGAAGGAATTCATACTGGTAGGAACCTCTTGGTTACACCAGCCCACAGGGGATTATTGTGTCCGTCCGTCGTGCAGGGAGGGGCTGGGAGGGGAGGGGCTGGGTGGGGAGGGTGGGGCTGGGTGGGGAGGGGCTGGTCACCCCGTGGTGCCCTTATAAAACTCAACGTTTAACCTACTCACGCCGGCTTGTGCCCGTCCTCACAGTTGGGCATATTTGCGGAATCCACCACGCCGCCATCGATCCTGGCCATTGACCGAGAAACCCAACGTTCCTTCCAGCTCCCTCCGCAGGAATGTGTTTAAATAACGGGGGAGTGGACTAGGTCACTGCTGCTGTTGTTTTTAAAGCAAGGGAAGTCGGGGGGAGGGGGCAGGGAGTGTAAATGGGCAGCACAACGAGCAACGAGAGACAGAGCGAACGACGGAGTAAAGACCGTGAGGAGGAGGAGGAGGTGGGGGGGGCAGAGATGCAGAGGGAACACTGCGGGAAGAGATGGCGGTCGGGCGACGTCACGGAGTTGGTGCTCCACCCCTGCGTCAGGAGCAGCTCGGGGCAAAGAAGGAATGGAAGAGAATGAAAGAGAATGAAAGAGGCCTCGGCAGTTCTCGCTGCTGTGTTTGTCTCACCTGATGACGATTGCTTGTGTTGCGATCGAAACGTCGTCATCTATTAATGTTTTACCTACGTGACTTTAGCGAAAGAACCAAAGAGTCTTAGTAGTAATAGGTTTTGACCCTTTTAACTGGCAACAAAATTGACACCTTTATACAAGGGATCATGTTTGCATTAACCACAGCACTTGCGGTCAAAATGCAAAAAAAATACAACTCTGATAATGTGTGCACTGTCCTTGAAATTGATTGGTCCACACCCGAGACAGCTTTTCTTAGAGCCTAGTCTCACATGGTGTTGGACCAGATGACGCCAAAAGGCGCACAACTCAAAGACAACGCACCATCAGAGTATTGAGAGCTCGGGGTAAGCTTTACATTGAGACCTCATTTGCCAGTAGCAAGATATAGTAATAGCTTTTTACCATTTTAACTGGCAACAAAACTGACACCTTTATACAAGGGATCATGTTTGCATTAACCACAACACTTGTTGCCAAGTTAAAAGTGTAAAAACCCATTACTATATCTTGCTACTGGCAAAGGAGGTCTCATAAACCAAAGAGTATGTTTGTGTTTAGTTATCCTCACGCACCTATGATTAGCGCGGTTGGCTACGTACGGTGCAAAAGAAGTTCAAGATACATACACACATGGGAAACAAACAGAAAATGTGCCCGGTTTGGTGTTATTGTCATCATATATATACAAATCTAAAGTGTGGCTTAAGTCCAGGTACACATGAGCAAACCTCGTGCCCGCAGAACGATGCCTCCATCGATGGCGCGGGGATGATATCCCTGGGGTCCTGTCACCAACTCCATCGCGATGCCACTGAGCGCTCTGCCAGAGGTGGCGACAGCCTCGTGGAGGGGCGGGGCAAGGGAAGGGGCCTATTCTTAGTTCTTTCGGTAAAGTCACGTAGGTAAAAAATGAAATTGAAATTAATAAAAAATAATAATAAAATCACAACGTTTCGGAGGCAACACAAGCTTCCGTCTTCAGAAGACGGAAGCTTGTGTTGCCTCCGAAACGTCGTGATTTTTTTTATTAATTTACGTGACTTTACCGAAAGAACTAAGAGTATGAATCCTTGCAGTCACGAAAGCTTCAAATCTAGAATTAGGGAAGGGGCCTGCCACAACTCTGTCTCCTATGCCTCCTCCCCAAGCAGAGAAGATTGTGGGTTTCGTGACTTAAACACCGCGAATGATCACATTTGTGGTATATATGCCACGAACCTGCTGCCATTCCTAGCTAATACAATGTAATCGTGGACTGGTTTCCACTTCCTGGGTCTCGTCGGGAAAGGAGCTAAACAAATGCTGCCGTGTTCCCAGAGGTTATTGGCAAAAGTACTCGTCCCGTTTAACGAAAGAAAGCAATTCCCGTGAGTTTGCGTACGGATTTTGAAAATATATATACGGCGCTTTGAGATGCCGTGGCATTTAAGCGCCCGCCGAATGTAGCCCTTTTATCGTTGTGTTCTTATTCCTGTCTCCATTCCCCAATAGCTTCCCTGGTGTTATTAAGTACGACAACTGCAAAGGTCACATGCGCATCTATATTCATGGAGCCACGGTGGCGATGAGATGTTAACCACCTCGCCTGGTACACAGGAGGTCATGGGTTCGATCCCGATCCCGACCCTGACCGCCTGCTGCTGTATATTTAGAGTTTGCGTGTCTCTCTCTCCCCCCATGGTCGCGTGGCTTTTTCTCCGGGTTTCTCCGGTTTTCCTCCTCCACATTTATAATCAACATCACGCGTTTACAGTATTTGGCTGCTTTACATTTCCACGTGATAAACCACTTCGTTGAGCTTTCATTTGTGATAGGTCGCTTCTGGAGGGAAACAAAAGCTATATAGCTCAGTGGGCCTTACCTGGTCAAATATATATTTTTAAATGTGTTTATATTTCGATTTAAAGCTTTCGTGACTGCAGGGATTCATCTTCTTGGTTCTTTCGGTAAAGTCACGTAGAAGGGAAGTAATAAAATAATATTATATTATTATATTATGTTTTATTTTTATTATTTTAT